CCTCAGCAAAAGATCATGACACACTGAAGGCTCAGATGATAGCATATTTTAGCAATGAAGAATTTTTAAATTAAGGTATGCCCACTTTTTCTTTACATAATGCTATTGCAAAATCAAATAGGCTACAAGTATATTATAATTTTAATATGTGCTGGTAACTGAAAAATTCAGTGGTCTAGAACCAAACCTGCAGTATGTCTGAGGGGTGCCGACAGGAAGGCTGGGTCATAGTTTGACTTTTGGTATTTGTAACTCATAACTTGGTATGGACACTGAGTTCCAGAATCCCTATCCCAACTTTGTGGTAGAATGGGCAAGGAAAGACATTTGTTGATAGTTAACAGGACTAACAATTAACAATTAGCCAGGACTCTTGTGATGAACAGTAAAGATGAGGCCACAGGTCATGACCTCCCATTAGTCTGTCCAGTTCAACTGGAGCAGAAAGCCAGGAAAACTCTGGGATAACCCCTGAAGTCATGCTGTAATCAAAAGCAACCAAATTCCCTCAAAGGCATACTTTTAAAACCTAATGTACTCTGGAAGGGGCTAAAAGGGTTTGAAATTTTTTCTTGGCACTCATTAAGCACAGAAACTCATATTTTTATTGCCATTTCAAATCACTATTTGTTAGCTGCTTTAACATGGATTTGGACAGGCTTTACAAAGTTCACCCTAGATAGTGACCTTAGCAAAAAATTAAGGGAAAACACTTGCATTTCAATTCTCTTTCAAATAAAAGAGCTGAAATGCCACCTCTGGGAAGCTGCCAATCTCCCTGCCTGATCTGAATGAGGGTCTTCTGCTCTGGTACAAGAGTACACCAGAAATATTTCAGGTTGGGTTCCAGACCACCATAAAAAAGTGAGTATCACAATAAAGAAAGTCACACTTTTATTTTTTTGTTTCCCAGTGCATACAAAAGTTATGTTTATAGGCTTTTAAATATGTGTTGTCTAAATAGCAATGTACTTAATTAAAAAATATTTCATTGCTAAAAAATGCTAACCATCATCTGAGTCTCCAATAATAAAGAACTTTTTCTTCTGCAGTCACAGCTTGACATTCTGGTCTAAGAGAGACCTAGCTTTTTACCTATCTTAACTTTCAACACTAAGTTTCATCATGTTTAATGTTTGACTTAAATGGAGAGATGCTCTACGCTTAGAGGTCACTCTAGGACTGTAACTGGCCTAGTCTAAATATTCAACACGAAGGCCAGAGGAGAGGGTAAGGGACAAGGGAACAGCCACTTGGTGGAGAAGTCACAATACTACATTTGTCGGTTTATTTCCTTGTTTTATATGGGCCCAGTTCATGGTGCACCAAAACACTCACAACATCAAAGACCACTGATCAGAGATGCCAGTGCCCAGCCCAGCACGTTAAGTCTCTGTGGCTGCTGAGCTGAGTATCTGCCATGTCCCTATCCTACCTGTCCCTAAACAGGACACCTACAGCAGGCACAGCACAGAACAGAATGCCTGTTTCATGAGGGATGTTTCATCAACCTTTTATCAAGAGAAATTACCCAACAGTAAAGTCTATAACAGTCATCTTACCTGCACTTTTAGAGGCTCAATGTGATTCAGGTAAATGTGTGCATCTCCCAGTGTATGTACAAAATCGCCGGGCTAAATCCCATGGAAGAAAGCAAAAAAGGAAATATTTTTGTTTCAATTACTTTCAAATATATCATTTAAAAGCCATTACAAAGAGTAGTCAGACATCCTAAACTTTTCCAAAAACAGTTAACTAGTGAAGCTTTTAAGAAAGTTAATTCATGAAAGTTGTGTTAAAAACAACCTATATATAAACTTTAGTTCACGAAGGCCACAAAGACAGGAATGTTCTACAGAAAGTTACAGGATGAGCAAGCTCATTTCTTATTTTAAAGAACCTAAGAGCTTCACACATTAAACTGACAACAGCCCATTCTTCTCAAGAGGAGCCTACCTTCAGGCCGGTGATGTGCGCAATCATGCAGGTGAGCAGGGAGTAGCTGGCAATATTGAAGGGCACACCCAGGCCCATGTCTCCTGACCTCTGGTATAGCTGGCAGGAGAGCTCACCATTCACCACATAGAACTGGCAAAGTGCATGGCATGGAGGTAAGGCCATCAGAGGAAGATCTGAGGAGTCAGCACACAGGAACTTAAGAGGAGGGTGGTTTTAAGGAATACAGCTAAAGTCAAAGCAAGACAGGAGAAACAGAAGCCAATCATATAGTGGAAATCACAAAAAAAGGGCCACTAGGCCAGTGAGGCCTATGACTGGCACCTTCCATCAGGTCAAAAGGTGACCGTCCCAACCCCAGGGATGGTTGAGACTTCTGCATTTCTGCATCTGTAGCTGAAGTAATACTCTTTCGTATGAACAGAAATGAGTGTGTGTTGCCTTTAGGGCACCAGACTACAAGTAGAGGAGCAATCCAGCCACAGGAATCTGGTGTGTCATGGAAAACCATCTGGTGTTCGTTCCTATCATAAATGTAAATATTCTACTCTGGGCAATATTTCCTATATATTGACAGAGCTTGATTTTATAATAGAATTATTAAATATGTTAGTAAAATCCAGGTCTGTGACTTCATCTGTCCCAATTTAAAACATTCAAATCATAAGTGTATTCTGTCAATTAAAAGCTTCTTTTGGAGGAGTAATGTGTGTAAATACATAAATTAAGATCCAAATCTGGGTTCAGCCCATCTTCCGAAGGTGAAAATAGGGCTAAATGTGACTTGCCCAGGATTTCCCAACCATCAGTGCAGTTGGGGCAGTGCAGGGTCGGCCTCTACAGTCACAGTGCTTCCCTCTGTGCTAACAGCTAAGTTAGGACAAAAGGCTAACTGCAAGCTTTTAACCTTTTGGATTCCAAGCACACAGGATGATTCTTCTGTCATCTGGGTTGGTTTTGATTGTGTCGATCACTTTTTGCAGCTGATCTACTCCTTGACCTGAATAATCTGTAGAATTGTCAGAGAGAGAGAGAGAGGACATACACGTCAATGACCACCTCTTTGAAGATGGGCTTAGAGGTCATCTGTCACTGTCCTCCACGGCACCCTTAGCCCATGATTCACCTTGACCCAGCACACTGTATGAATTTCTCCAGTCTCACTGTATGATGCCCACCTCCTGGAGCCATGAGTCTGTTTACTTTTCTCCCCAAGGAAGTCCTTAAAATAATCAGTCACCTCCAACCATAACAATCAGTGACTCCAATGGGGATTTTATCTCTGGACTCACCAACCACTCCTTTCCCACTTCACTGACACAATGTAGTTCACCATGTTCCACAGAAAGTACCAGACATTAAACGGCATCTAATATCCTATATACATTCTGGCTAGAGGACTGTGGTTTGTGAATCTTTAGAAAGATGAAACCATAGCTCTAAGAGATCTCTAGAGAGGAGAAAGTTTTATGTGTTGGAGGAAATACATTTTTAAACAGGAGAATATAAAACATTGAGTGCAGAAAATTAGAAGATGAAGATCCAGAAATCCCAACATATACTTTCATTTAAGAACTGCTTTTCTCATTAAATATTTTTGTTAGGTTATGTGATTACTAAAGGACTAGGTTGTTACAATTCATGTTTTGATATGTCTGAAAACTCTCATCACTTATCTTGTGCCTGGGATTAGAGGTTTTGAACAAAATAACCTGGCTACAGAGGACTGTGGATTCCTATACCTAGGCTCTATTCTTCCACTCAAATTAAAAGATAGCTAATCAACTATTATCTTGTAAATTTCAAGAAACTTCCATAATTATTACACCATTATATAGTTTTCTTCCATTTCTGTTTTCTGGACTTTAAATGTTTGCCCCCCTTGAAACAACTTAAAAGTGAAGAACCTGTTTTCACAGGTTAAACTTCCATTTACTGGTGAGAGGCCATGTTCAAGTTGAGCTCTTACACTGGGGGTGCAGTGGAGAAATCCTATCACAATCACAGTTCCAAGAAAGGTAATACCAAAGATTAAACTATGAACTGTAATAGTGGAATTCTATGTCCTGTTGTTATAATTATGTAAGTCTACACCTGCTAAAAAAATGCACACACAAATGAAAATCTGTAAAGTTCTGTGAATTCTACGAATATCAGTTTATGTAAGAGATACAGAATGATGTCATTGGAGGGAAACTGAATAGAGATTTCAAGACAAAAACTTTCAGATGACACTTTCCTACTGCAAACCAACAGTTGAACATTCACAGAACTCTAAACTAAGGTCATAATTTTGATGGCTCCTTAAGCTCTTGCTTAATAAATAACTGAACATCTGGAAGGATGTAAGACACAACTGAGCTGGGAGAGTAGCTTCACCCCTTAGAATGTCCTAGGGCAAAGGCTACAAATAACTGACAGACCAGTTACTTGTAGAAAGAATCTGGTATACACAGCACTTTTTTTTGTTTTGCATCTATGGTAAAGTTTATGTAACATTAAATCAACTATTTTAATCAATCTAAATGTGTGATTGGTGACGTCAAATACATTACCAATACTATGTAGCCATCACCACTGTCCATTCCAGATCTCTTTTATCTTGCCAAACTAAAGATCTGTACCCATTAAACAGTAAGTTCTGGCCCCTGGCAACCTCCAATCTACTTTCTATCTCTATGAATTTGCCTATTCTAGAACCTATGGCATTTAAACTTACTGAAATTGCCAACATCCAAAAGATCTCAAATCACATGTAAAAATGCAGACTTTTTAAGACTTTTTTTTGCAGAATTCTAGCATCAGGCCCAATCCCTCAAGCTGACTGGTGGATAAATGTGACTGCCCCCTTCAGAGAACTCGTGTTCCCCAGGTTTCTGTCCAACCAGCAAACTGGTACTTCCTGCACACACACAGACACACATCCCAGGTAGACATTTGCTTTAGCAACCCCTGACCAGGCAGGACATAGAAGGGTCAAAAGATCGCAGCTGGGTTGTGACAAGTGAGGTTGGACATCCAGTAGTGAGAAGCCTCATCTTCCACCAGTCCAGCCAGGAGGGGTGGAGAGGGAGACTGAGAAGTGTGTTGTCACATCGGCACCCCCCAGGGTGTGTGTTCTGGGTGGCAGTCTTGAAAAGGGAAATCTAAACTGCAAGGAACCCATGACTGTCTTCTCCCCGCCAAGGAACTGCCTACCTTTCTCCCCAACATAGCAGTAAACAGTGTTGCTACAGTTAATGACACAGGGTATGGGCCATGCCACAGATATGGGGTCCTAATCACCAAGCATGTGCTCTGACCTCATGAAGTATAGATGTGACCCTTCCCCCTAAATCTGGATACACCTCTCACAGGTCAAAGTTATACCTTAGCAATCCCAGGCACTGACCTCTCATCCCAAAGACTTCATCTGAGACAACAAATTCATGCTTTACAGACATGGGAATCCAAGACCTCACTGTCTCCTCACCTGAATCTTTATCTTTGTATTCTGCCCCAAAATGTCGCCACTGAAAGCCATAAACAGGGCCTAAATCTCCTTCTTCTCTGTTGGAGAACCCCAGGCTGTCCAAAAAGTCTCGGGAACCATTGGCATCCCAAATTTTCACACCTTTGGAAGACAGTTCATTAGCATTTGTGGATCCCTGGAAGAGATAGGAAAATAGGCATCTGTGAACTGAGCCATTGAAATTGGTCCCCCAAGACCCTCCCAGGAGGGCCTTCAGCCTATGCTGACATTAGGAGGGTGGGGAGAGAAAGCAGGTCTGCAACCTGACCCCACCTAGCCATCCTATTTAAACAGGCTATCTGATCCCTCACTATCTGATCCCTCCTTTGGAACCAGCTCTCAAAATGTTTTTCCTTGCCCCCTCAACTAAACTGCAAGTTCTTTCATTATTGCCACTTCCTGTGACCCTTTATTGTTTCTTAATTAGTTGTGTTGTATCAACTTAAGATGCCCAGAATTAACTTATCTACTGATTGGCTTATCAACATTAGTTTTTCTGGCAAATGTATCACTGATAAATTTTTCGTGTATGTGCCACTGTTATGTTTACCCTTAACCTATACTTTAAGAAGATGTTGTTATGTTTGGGGGTGGGGGGGTGCTAAATACAAACCATGTGTTTATTTCTAACATTGCATCTCCCTAGATTTGGCCCATGTCATCCAGGTTAAGAAGAGACCCACTGGTCTCCGGGTATGACATGGAATTAGTGACCGGCAAGGTTGTGCCACACTCTAGGCTCTGTGCCTGCCTTCTCTGACCAGCTCCCTAACCGCTCTGTCTCCTACTCACACCTACAGAGCAGTCATATTCACTACATACGTGACTGTGAGGATTAAATACAAGCAAAACGCCAGGTGCTCAATAGATACTACACAGACCCCATCTCTACATCCACCCACAGATTCCAGATGACGTCTGTATTTTACTGAGCACCAATGGAGCAACTCATCAGTAGTGAGTGTGATGTGTTGATAAGAATTTCTTAGAACCCTGAATTCACAAGCTTTCCAGTAAAACAGGTGAAAAGCATTTTATTTCTGGGCATGCAGGTGCCTTCCTTTCTATCATTAAGTTTATATTGATTTTTATTTATTTATGCATACAGAACTATGGTACAGGCCAGAGGTACAGAGGAGATGAGAGATTTCAACAGAGACAGTGGGAAGCAGAACAGGTAGATCAACTCACACTGCTGAGGGAGCAGTAGGTGAGACAGGAGAGGTCTGCTGCACCATGTGGGTCACCACTGGGCCAGGGATCAATCTCGCACTGAAGTGGCAGCAGCTAGCTTGCAGTGCTACATCCCAACCTGCTGTGCCACCTGGGAGGGCCAGTTTTTTCATTTCCAGCAAATCATTTGTCAATCTTTCATACAGAGCTTCAAAAATCTCCTCTTTCCATCTACTAAGTATGAGCTCTAGCTAACTGACCAATCTATTTTGGGATTTCTGATGATGCTTTGGAACTAGAGTTCCACCATCACTTAAAGTAGCCAACACATAAAAAATACCCTAAGAACACAGAACTAGGAAAGACTGGACTGTATCCAAATCTAAGCCCTATCTAAAAGGGATTAGGCAGGTTTGGCCAAAGACCATACAAGACACACCAAATGTTCTGTAGAAAGGATTCCCTCTTCTGGCCTGGTACAACACAGAGCCCATCTCCTCTCCCTCTAAGCAGCTCTGGCCAGAATACCACCGGTGTGGACCTCAGCAAGGGGAACCCCAGGCACGACTGCTGCCAGTCTCCAACATACTCCAGTATCCCTAAGGCACCTTCATTCTTTCAAAGTATAGCCTGTCACTAGAGACCCTTCTAGCTTATAACACAGGAACATGGCTGGGTTCTATATTCTGTGATCCATACATGTTGAGTACCTACTATGTGCCAGACCCTAGGGTACAACAGTGGGTAAGAGGATACAGTTCTCTATCTTATGGAACTTATGCTACATTTTAGTCATTTATTTATTTATTGGCAGACATTATACATCAGGTGATGGTTCTCCATAGAGAAAACAAAGGTGAGGTGGGAAGAGTGTATATGTATGTGTATTGGGGGCCCGGGGGTAATCATATTCTTAGATCACACTTAGGTCACTGGGCAGAGATGAGCTAAATTAAAGTGTCTTGCTACATGTGAAGAAACAGGATTCTGGGTCCTCTCTGATGGTGCCACAAGTTAAAGCATTACATTATGAAGATACTGCAGCCACTACAGCATGAGTTCAATCCTCCACCAGGAAGGTGACCCACATAGCATGGCAGACCTCTCCTGACCGGTCTGCTGCTCTCCTCAGCAGTGTATTTCAGTACATCTGCTGTTCTTCCCACTTTGTCTCTGGTGGATCCTCTCACCTCCTGCACCTCTCACTTGGACCCCAGTTCTGGAAGCATAAATAAATCAATTTTAAAAAAGAAAGAATTCTGGGAGGAATAGTGTGAATTCCTGTGTCCTTGGTGGGGATTTATAGGTTTGTCAGTGGCTCAAAGATCAGCAAGGCGGCCAGAATTGGGCCAAGGGAGCCAGTCAAAATCTTGCTTTGACCATGTGAAGCGGAACCAGTAAGGCCTTTCAGTTGTAGTGTGACATGATCTGACTCACTGAGGGACCTCACTGGCACTACGTTGAGAACAGATGCCTACTTCCATCAATTTCTTTACCTTAATAAACCACAACAGCTCTTCCAAAACACCTTTCCAGAAAACACGTTTGGTTGTCAGCAGAGGAAATTCATCTGAAAAATAATTTGCCATCAGTTAAAGAGAGGAAAATGGAACACACCCGCCAGCTTTCTCTAGAAGAAAACTGCCCAGGGACATAGGCGCTCAAATGACCGCAGGAATAGTTGGAAACTGTGACTCCTGCCCTAGGGACACCCACGTCATGTGGAGCTCCCAGGCTGCAGGGCATGTCAGTGACACAGCTTAGACTGAGCCAGCCCTCCTCTATGGTGAGACAGGGTGGAGACAAGGCAGGGTGGCCATACAGGTGGAGCCAGCTACCATCCACTATTTAGTATCCATGGTATTTCTGCCAGGGAAAACTTGCTCAGACTAAAGGATAGCAGCTAGCCTACTGCCCAAACAGAAAAATAGTATTTAAGTATTTGCAAACTTAATTAACCTCGTTTTTTAATGTCCCCAAATAGTGACTGTTTAAAAACCTTAAGCACACGATCCTAATTAACCCTCAAAAAACTCTCCTTGAGGTATTAGGATCTCTACTTTACAGGTACCGGAAGGCAATACCTAAGTTTGCATCAAGTAATAGAGAAATAAAAAGTAAAAGCTTCTAAATTTGTAATTATTCAGTCCACATTACTAGATGTATAGCTGATAGTCATGTAACAAGGGTAGATTTTACAAGCACCTAAATTTATCAGTATTGCCCATGGAGCAGTATTTTCTATTTTGAGAATATGGAAAATTAATTTTGAGTTAAAGGACAGAGAAGTTAAGTAACTGCTCTAGTCTCAGCAGAAGGGCTGAATTAAAAACTAGATCTGTGGTTCTCTGTGGCCACTGCCGCTGGAGCCACAGAAAGGTAGAGGGACCCCTCTGCTGAGATGAAGCTCCCTAAACTGTCACAGAATGATCAACCCCAGGCTCTACCATAATGGAGTAGAATGAGCATGGGGTTTCTCTCGTCTGAAGTCAAATCTGCTTCAATAACGGGTCTCCCCTCTCAAAATCACGTTCTCCACTTTGTCTGAGGTCAAGGTTACACACACACCACCCCCACCTCTCAAATGCCCTTAAAAACCTTTGAGAAACTCCCCTTGCCCCACTTAGCAGATATTCAATGGGAATAAAGGGATGGTCGAGTGAGTGTTAAGGGCAATCCTTGTCTAATGTCGTGTGCCTACCCAGTACTCACCCTCTGCCCCCTGAGGGTCTGATCCTACCAAGTCCCAAGACACACCTCTTCTTATGAGTCATGTGGTTTTAAACGTCTACTTAGACGCTCCATTTCCGGTGTCAAGGTTTACTAACTAGCTGAATACCGCGGGCAGGAGGCACAACTTGTGCAAAAGCACAAGTTCCCGCCAAAGTCTCTGCTTTCATCGTCTCCGCCATCGCCCCGCCCACATAACACTTCAGTTTAAAAAAAAAAAAA